CTGGCTCATGGTGCCCGCGCCTACCTACCCTAGACCATTAGTCTATGGTCTCCATTCCACCCAGGGTGCCTTCCCATGTTTGGAGACATGGGACCCCTCTGCCCCATGATCTGGGCCTCTGCTGATCTCTGCAGATGGGTGTGTGTGATTAAAGAGGCAAAATCCAGAAGTAGAGAGAGAGGACCCATTTTAAAAAGTCCAGCGAGCACAGACACGCCGCCCGGAATCCCAGCCTCCATCTGAGCCCAGCCAACATGAGTCACCTCCACAGCCCTTTACCTGTGAGTTGCAACACAGCTGACAGAAACTCCCAGCCTTCCAGGAGGCGGGCAGACCAGTGTGCCATTCCTTGGGCCGCAGTGAGCTTTGCAGTTACAGCTGGCACCAAATGGCTCTCCTGCCACCAATAACATCTGCAAAGTGGTTGGACACCGGCTCTGTTCTTGGATCAAATCCCAGCTCCAGCTCCACACTTCTAAGCTCTGCAGCTTGAGTAACTTAGTCACTTGTACTTGTTTCCTCATCTCTAAAACAAGGACAATCAAAGCGCCCCTCTCACAGGGTCCCTATGAGGATTAAGTGAGACGATGCACGTAACGGCGGAGCACGACGTCTGATATGTGGTTATCTGAGCACCTACCGTCCGCCAGACCCGTAGTAGGCACTGGAGGTTCAAAAGCGAACAGGACAGACAAGGTCTTTACTCTAATGGAGTTCACATTCCAAAAAGGGGGGGGGGGGATGAACAATAAACAATCAGAAAAATATAAAAAAGCTGTAAGAGTTTTGCAGCGAGCCGAATAAAGTGGTGTGATATAGTGACTGAATGTGACTTTAACAAGGGCAGCTGGGGGGCCCGGGTGGCTCAGTTGGTTGAGTGTCCGACTTTGGCTCAGGTCATGATCTTGCAGTTCGTGAGGTAGAGCCCCGCAAGGGGTTCTGTGCTGACAGTTTAGAGCCTGGAACCTGCTTCAGATTCTGTCTCCCTCTCTCTCTGCCCCTCCCCTGCCCGTGCTCTTTGTCGGTCTCAAAAATAAATGTTAAAAAAATTAAAAAACAAAAAACAAACCCCCCCCCCCCATTACCCAGAAAAAACAAGGGCAACTGGGAAGGCCTACTCTGAGCTGATGACTTTATTAGCAATTACTATTACTATTTACTGTTATTCGTCAGGGTCCCCTTGGCTGCCACCAACACAGCCTCCAGTGAGAAACCAACCTCTGACATTTCTCAAACCCAGTACCCTTTCTCCACAGTCCTGACCTCACCCTGAGAAGGCTTCTTCAGATTCTGACTTTACCCTGAAAACCTCCATCATATTGGCAGGAGGAGCTGAAACCGCACCCTTCCCTGAGAGAGAAAGGAGTGGGCCAAGGCGAGGCTCCCAGGAAGACAGAGCAAAGAGATAATTTGCTAAAAGGGAAGAGGGGGTGGGCAGAGAACAGAAAGAGAGAGGGAAAAAACACATACCAAGATCTGTAGCTTAGATTTAATTTCAAATTAATCCTGGTGGAAGCTCTAAAAACAGCTCTAGCATTCTCCTAAGTGTGTCTGTGGATCTTTCGGGTTTACCAACCTTGTTCCTCACAGAGCCAGCTCATGGCAATTATTCCACAATTACTTAGTCTGAGGAGTATCTGATTTCTCCTGTGTTTCCAATGAGGAAGAAAGCGCTTATTAGGCTCTGTGAAATGACCAGCTAGCTAAGGCTTCAGAGGTGGTGGACTTCAACTTTTCCATCCCTTCTGTGCTGGCCAAAGGTATCTGGTTTGCTCATCTCTCATTCAGATCTGTATCACACCAAATAAAAGGCTGCTTCCCACCCTATCTCCACCCCCCACCACATGCACACACACTCCAATTGTAGACTCCTCAAGAACAGTGACCCTGTCTTCTTGGCCTCCGTCTCCTCAGAACCCAGAGTAAGGCCTGGCACACAACAGGTGCTCAGTAAATCATCTGTTGAATTGCGGCCACTGACTTCAGCTCTAAGGGACAGCCAGACTTGGAGAGGACTGAAGATTCAGATCTGGGCTCTGACACTCAACTAGCTTTACCCCTGGGCAAGTCAATTTACCTCTCCCGCCTCCATTTCCTCACCTGTTAAGTGTGTTGGGAAGGAAGGGGGTGCAGTAATAATATCAGCCACGGTGGGTTACTGTGAGAATCAAAAGAACTCACTTGAATAACTGTAAGATTATTCAAAAATAACATACTGTTATCTTAAGGGGAAAGCTCCGAAAAACAAAGGGAATTTACACACAGGAGCCCCCCCCCCCCCCATACGGTGGGGTTGGGGCGGGGAGATCGGCTCTCTGAGAATTCCCCAGTGACTGAAGTATTTGATGCTGGGTAGAGGAAGGGGCAAAGGAATTGAGGGGATGTTCCCAAGTATCCAGGATACTAACTAGAAACAGAAATCGACCTTTGGCCAAGTATCTGTCTCTGTACTTTTCCTCTATCTTCTCTCCAACATTTTTTTCCCCTCCCTCTCTCCTCCCTCTTCTCCACCTCCCACCCCCACACCTAGGAAGGAATTGGCCAGCTCCACCTAGCCGGCCCCCCTTGGCTCCGCCCCCAATGCGGCAGGCCAAGAGTTAACAGCTGCACCTGTTGAGGCATACCTGCTGTCGCCGGCACCTGTACCCATAGCCAATCAGCACCAGCGCTGCCGGGAACCTACCTGTCAGCAAAATCCCGACACTCAAACCTCAACATAAATCAAACACTTCCCTGGGCAGGGAATGTCTGTGTCAGGCAAGAATTAGAGACAAGCGGTCAGCAGAGCCTCAGTGCTGGTGCCCGTCTTCATCTTTGAGCTTGGGAGCCTGGGAGCAAGAAGATGTCGAATGAACTTGAGTGAGTAAACATTGGTGGATGCCTGGCGCTCTCTGAGCATGGAGGCTCCGTGGGGTTTCCAGAAGGGGGAAGCGCAGGGAGGCCGGCGCCAGGATTCACAGAGCAATTTGTAAGGGTAAATGAATGGGCTGACGATCTCACTTTGACGTGTTGAGGCAAGCCCCATCTCAAGCTAGAGTTGAGTGTTTCCCTGGGAAAATAGGTTTTTTTCTCTCTCTCTCCATGCTGAGCAGTTTCGAGCCAGGTAGGGAAACACAGAGGACTGAAACCGCGAAGGCTGTCGGCACCACTTTCTAATACTCTTAAAGGGACTCAGAAATCAGCTCCAATCCCAACTAGGCTATCTTCTTGACAAAAGGAACTTCTTTGAGGTAGTTCTAAGAGCAGTCTTAGGCGGAGAGCTGGATTTCTCTAAAGGGGCTTGTTTGTTGGGTTGGAACAGTCCCAAGTGGGAAGGTTACAGAGTGGTGTTTAAACATATGGGCTCTGTAGTCAGCCTGACCTAGGTTCAAATCCAGACTCTGCTCCTTATGGGGTATGTGATCTTGGACAAGTCATTCAGCTCACCTGAGCCTCATTTACTTCATCCAGAAAATGGGCACAAGAATGTTTTGTAGGGTTCCTGACAGAGTTGTGTGTGATAAAAACTGTAAAATGCTAAGCACAGAGCTCGGGTCTGAAGATGCATTAACAAAATGTAGTTGATTTTATTCAGAGGCAGTTCTAAGTCTGAAGAAGCTGAGATGTGGTTTTCAGTGAGGTCATCTCCATTGCCTGGCAGGATGCAGTGCCTTCCTGCCCATATGAGTGAGATTTAGACTCCCCACTGGCTGATGCTGATCTTCACCATGGACCCCCTGCTTAGGGTCTAGACCTCAGAGAAGGTGGCTTGGAGCTGGGATTCTGGGCTGCTTTAGTTTGGGTTCAGGGAATTGGCAGATGCCAGGCTTCTAAACCACAGACTCTCCTTGCTATGCTCAGAGGTGAGTGGGCAGAGACAAGGGCGGAACCATCTTTTTTTCTAGCTACTCCTCAATAAATTGTTTTAAGAACATGAGACCTGCGGGGGGCAACTGGTGGGTCCTAATTGCAGACAGTGTTCCATGACACCCGCTAGCTCTTGAGTTCTCCTGGATTAGCCAACTATGTCCATAGTACACTGACTGGGCATCAGATTTCACTTAACAAACTCCCTGGGGTTGACGATGTGTTGACAACTGGAATAAAAGCAGGGGCACTGGAGGCAACACCTGGGTTCAAATACCAACTGTCGCTACTGAGCTGTGTGACCTTGCACAAGTCACTTCACCTACCTGAGTCTCTGTTTCCTCACTTGTAAATTGTGGGTGCCATAGTGGAGTTGTTGGGGGACCCAACTACTTTGGAAAAGTGATTGGTTTAAAGCCTGATAAGGAGCAAACTAACAATACCCTTGTTACTTCACAGAGAAATAACCGATGAGTATTTATGAGCCTCTTGCTTTTTATTTTTCCACACTCCTAAAACAAAAATCTTAGGTCTTGTAGATCTGCTGGTTAACACTGCAGAGGCTGGAGACAGAATCTGCTCATTAGTGCCCCTTTGGGGGGGTGGGGGGAGGGGTTGGTAAGGTCCTGAAGCTGGGATACTTGAACAGAAAGGTTTCCTGATTTTCTCCTTCTTAATGATTTGGGTTTGAAGTCTGATCAGCTGACAGTGGACACTTCTCTGATCCGATTGGGGGAGGGGGAGGGGAACCTGTGCCCGCAGAGTAATTGCAGACAGACTCGGAAGCCACCATCTGAGATTACAAGGACAGAGCCTCAGTGCCCTGGGGCTGGGCTACACTTACGGATAAGGGGAGGGTATCAAGTGCTTGGCTTAATATAAGTTGCTGCTGGTGCTGCTGTGACCACAGGCTTGGCTGCCGAGCCCCGCCTCCCCCCCCCCTCAAAGTGCCGAATTAGGAGGGCTGGTTCTAGCGTCCATCTTGAGCTCCGACAGTGTGATGAACTCTTGCCAGGCCTTGGTGTGGTGGGAAAAGCCGGGCTCGTGTAGGACTAAATGCTGCCACTTGGCAACCGCAGGATCCTGGTGAAATTTGTTTCTCCCCTCTGACCCTCTGTGTCCTCCTCGGTCCAACATGGGCTGTGCACACCCACCTGGCCGGGGAAACAATGCGCTCCGGCGTGCGGGCCACCCGGCTCGGGGCAGGCCTCGGGTGGAAGGCGGCACTTCGAAGGCCGGGTCCTGGGGTGCATGGCGGCGCGTAGTTAGAACCCCGCTCGAGGCGGCTTGCGGGTGGAGCACTCCAGCCTTTCATGTGGTCGGGCCCAGCGCCTGCCCGGTGCGTCTGCCTGCCTCGGGGCCAACGCAGGCCGCCTCGGGTGCCGCCAGTGGGCGCCGTCTGCTGCCCCCGAGCTAGAGCCGCCGCAAGGGATCCTGGGGCTGCGCGAGGCGCAGGAAGTCGCGGCCTGGCGCGCTCCTCTTGCGGGACGCAGTGGGCGCCTGCGCGCAGCCCGCCGTGGCTTTCTGAGGGGGCGGTCGGCTTACAGCCTGGGGTCTTATCCCGGTTGCTGTGGGTCCTTCGGGCCCCTTTGGTGCTACAAGTAGAGTGCTGCCCCGGGGGCCTAGTGTGTGCCTGGCGCACCTGCCCTGGCTCGCCCCGCCCAGGAGGAAATGAAGCGTTAGGAGACTAAGTGATCAGCACATAGTAGGTCTAATCGAGTGGAGGAGAGAGAGTGAAGTGAGCGAGGCGCACCAGGATTCCCTCCTCCAGCCTTGCACGGTCTTCGGACTGAGAGCCCACCTGCCGCCTAGAATTTTCTCCCTCCCGAAAGCCTTGGAGAGACGGGACTGCCCGTGGGAGGGGGACAGGGGACGTCCCAGTGGGTGACCGCAGGCCTCTGTCGCCGCTCCATCTGATCTCCAGGAGCGCCAGGCTCCAGACTGCCTGGAGCGCTGAAAGAGTTAACCAGGAACGCCTCCCCACTGCGGTTTTGTGGTCGAAACCATGATTGCCAGGAGCAAATTTTTGTCGTGCACAAGGTGTGTTATTAAAAGTCGGAGTTACGCTGCTGGTGAATGAAAAGTTAAGAGCCCTCATTAAGCTCGGCCTGTAAAACAGGCGGACTGAGGCTGAGACAACCCTAACGGCGGCGGCTCCGGGTGCGGGACGCTCCCGAGGCTCCTGCCACTGCACTGGCTGCCCAGGCACAGCGAGGGCCCGGGGTCAGGTGCCTGGAGCCAAAGGGGGCGTCGGGGGTCCACCCAGAGGAAGCCGAGCCGGAGGAAGGGCGGACAGGAGGAAGGGCCACAGGGCCGAAACAGAAATAACATACTGGAAGCTTTCCCTTTGGTGAAAACAAAAGCAACAGCCAAGCATTGACCCGAGGGGCCGACTCCACAGCAGACACGGTGCCCGGTGCTTGGTAAATACATGATCTCCTTTAACTCTCCCAACAATCCAGTGAGGATGGGAGCGTAAGTGCAGTGTTGCTCAAGGACGGGTCTGAGGCTTGCCCCAGGCTTGCTCGAGATCTCCAGGAAGAGCTGGAATCTTCACCGGGTCTCAACCGAGGGGCTAGAAGGATGTTCCACACCAATGTGTCACCCTGCTTCCTATCTGCACAGATATTGAAAAAAGAGGAGGAGATACGCCAACCTGTTAATAGTGGTTATCTCTGAGTGGAGGAATGCAGGTGAATTCTAGTCTCTGCTTCCAATTTGCTCTGTGTTCTACATTTTGTATATTGTGGTTTTACATACCTATGTTACTTTTGAAATGGGGAAGGTGAGGAGAGAGAGCCATTATTTTGCAGAGAATTATTGGTTCACCTAAAACTGATGTTCTCCAAGTGTGGTTCCTGGACCAGCATCATCATCTTCACCACCTGGGAACTTGTTAGAAATGCAAATTCTCAGCCTCACCCTAGACCTACTGAATCAGAAATTCTGGGGGTGGGGTTCAGCAATGTGTTTTAACAGGCCCTCCAGGCGATTCTGATGCATGTTCAAGTTTAAGAACCATTGGCCTAGAAGACCTGGCAGAGGATTGGGAGACAAGAGGTTCCCAGATCCTCTTCTGACCTGCCACGTAGTTGCTTGGTCAGCAAGCTGAGAGCTCGTTGCTATGGGGGTCACGCTTGTGTTTGAGCCCAGCTCTGCCATGTAGGGACCAGGTGACTTTTGGTTGAGCTCCTTAACCTTTCTAGGTGTCAGTGCTGTATGTGTAAATTAGTGATAATATGCCTCCCCCCCGCCCCCCAACAGGTCAAGTACAAGAATGAAAAGGCACGGGGCCTGATGCTTTTAAATAGCAGTTCCTTTTCCTTCCCGTGTTGCCCTTCCCCTCTTGGGAGCTCAGCATTTGCAACATGGAGCAAATAATCCTGGCTTCCTTTCATCTTCTAAAAAATTCAGAACTGACCTAGTGGATGTCCTGAAGGGAAATTATCTCACCAATATTTGGTGTTATTTCACTGGTGGGTGGAGCACCCGGGCAGCAAGAATTGGAAACTTTTGAGAGCAGGGACAGCGTGGTGTTTACCTTTGTGTCCTAGTACCCAGCACAGGGCTTATTATAGGGTAACTCTCAGTGAATGTTTATTGGATGAATCAGTGCGTGAATGAATGAAGGGATGTGGCACCCTGGGTTTAGAGGTGGATTTCAATTTCTTTCACATCTCAATTGAAAGAGGGAACAAGGGGTGTCTGGGTGGCTCAGTTGGTTGGGCGTCTGACTTGATTTTGGCTTAGGTCATGATCCCGGGGTAGTGGGATCGAGCCCTATGTTGGGCTCTGCACTGAGCTTGGAGCCTGCTTAAGATTCTCTCTCTCTCTCTCTCTCTCTCTCTCTCT